ATCTCAATTTAAACCTCCTATCTTCCTAGCTCATCCCTTCTAACACCTTCTCTTATTCTAGGTTCAATAATTTTGTGGCTTTATCTGGACTTTCAGGTCGTCAATCCTGCTACTTCTCTCTGTCCTTCCCCGACGCATTGCCTCTACTCCCTGCTCCCCCAGTTTAACTCTAGAGGAAATCATTATAGGTGCCCTGTCGATGTCCTTTGCCACTCTCCTGATTCGTCACTCTCGAGTGGCTAAATGACAGCCCTGGTTCAGTCAACTTTTGCCTGCTTTCCCCCTAGACCTGTGCAGCCGAGTGCAATGGAGCAACCAACACACACACCATGTTTTTAGTCTCATTCCAATTTCATGAGCACGACCCTCAAGTCAGCCTCCAATGCTGCCCAGAAATGATGCTCCAGTTTCCTAATCCTTGTACTCCTGCACTGTCCTAGAAATTGTTACACGTTTTCACTTGTATCATTCAATTTTCTACAGTTCGTTTTTTTTAAGTGCCCACAAACCATCTGCTTGTAGAAACTTTGCTGGGAATTGGTATGAAATATCCCATTTTCTGAAGTCCATTTCCCTCCCCCAACCCACCCCAGACATTTGCCTATTATCTAAGCCAAATTCCTCTTGTTCCTCAGTGTCCCTCGAGGGTCCATGGCCTCAGCTCTCCCTCTCCTCGTCCTGTCCTTCAGTCCCCCATGGGCCTTGCTCCTGCTTATCTCAGTCAGCACCTGTCAAGACAATGAGAACGAGAATGACTAGCAGCCTGATTTACTGGGAAAGCATCTGTTTTCATCATCTTATTAAATTAAAAAATATTCAAATAGCCATTTTGCAGAGAAGAAGCACTTGGCAGGAGGCAGGCCAGTTTGGGCCACAGCTCTCAGGCCCTGGGAACCCAGGGAAGGAAGGAGCTGGCCCCAGGGAGCCGGTGCCGTCCTGGTGCCTGCTGAGTGTGCTGCCTTTCTGAGCAGTGGTTGGTGGGTAAAAGCATGGGCTGCAGAGCCAAACAAGATAGATGGGATCAGATTCCTGCTCCTCCACCCCCTAAGGATGAGACCCTGAGCTATTTAACCTCCCTAGACTCACTGTCCTCATCCGAAAAACGGGATAGTAACAGTATCTTATCTGCTCCCTAAGGAGGGTATGAGAAATAAATAAGCCAACATATGGGAAGTATTCAGAACAAAGCCAGGTACTTATTAAGTGCTCAATGAACAATAGCTATAAATTATTATCATATTCTCTTTGGAGTCTTACATAACAGCCCTGGGAGGTACTACTATCCCCATTTCACAGAAGAAGAGACTGAGGGTTACAGAGGTTAAGGAGAGAGGCTCGAGACCACATGGACAGACAGCAGCAGAGGCTCGACTTGCACTAAGATCAGAGGACTCTGCCCCATCTCACCGAGCATTGCAGAGCTCCCTTTTAGTCCCTGGATGACATGATTTTACCCTTGCCATGGAGATTCACATCACTCCCTCCTCCAAACATGCCTGGATCTTCCCAGGCAGAGGGCACCCAATATTTACTGTACAATTACTTGGTCATGGTTGAATGTAGCTGGAGCAAGGGAGGCCAATTAGCAACAAATCAGCAACTCTGAGAGGAGAAACAGTCCCAAGATCACACGCTGCAGTCCCTTGGGAGTGGGAGTGTTGTTTACGGTTGTCCTGACTCAGGTTCGCCCACTCTGCAAGGGCCTGGGATGCTCAGTTCGGCCAACGTGCAGGCTGTGGGCTCAAGCTGACGGCACTGGAAGTGCTGTTGACAAGGTCCAGACTGTCACTTTACGGTGCCAGAGATGACATTTTGTGATGTGCTCACAAGCCCTCTTCCAGTGGCTGTTGAAAGTCTGTTGTGAGGGTCCGGAAGGAGGATTGTTTGTGTGCTCACCCAGGCTGAGGAGACAGGGACACCGTGCATCAGCACTGGGGTGTGAACGGAACACACACACAGAGTCATTTTCTGGGATTGTCTCTCAGAAGCCCCCTGTAGAGAAGCTGTTAGGCTCTTCACTGTGAATATATCAGAAAGCCCCCCAGGGCTTATGAGCTCATGCTGTAACAGGGTTTTTTTCCGAGGCGCCTGCCTGACAATGGTGGGCAAGGCACCAGCATAGTGCCAGGCGAGCCGTAAGACCTCATGGACATAGAATCACCTCTCTGAACCTCAGTTTCTCCTTCTGGAAAGTGAGTGACTTGGACTCTATTTGATCCCTTCATCTCTAGAGATTTTATTAGTCCAGTAGTCCCTGAACCTCATTTAATTCTATAAACATTGACCGAGGACTCACTGTATTCCGAACTGCATGGCTACGCAGGCGGGAGAGACGAGTTTCCCACTGCGGGGAGTTCCCAGCGAGTTAATGAGGTCATGACTTGCCAGAACTTCTTTTCCCCAGAGAGCTCTCTCGTACTTACCCGGTGGTGCTCAGAGTGTGGTCCCTGGAGCGGTGACCAGCTTCACCGGGAACTTCCTAGGAACAAACGTTTTCAGGTACCACCCTGAACCTACAGAAGAAAACTTGGTCACTTGGGCGGCTATGACCCATTTTCAACTCACCATCAGAGCTCCCGTGTAACCTCCCACAACATTTTGAACCTTTGTGGTGTTTTTATAAGTGTCCAGGCATTGCGAAAACTACCCATTTGTTTTGATACGCACTAATCCATTTAGCACACAATCCCCTGTGGAATTTCTGGGCTTCCCTGCAAGTGAATTGATTGTGATGCTTGGTGGGATGTTAACACCATGAGGAAGGCCCGCAGTAAGAATCCTAGTCCCAGGAAACTCACTCCCCATTTCCAAAGAGGAAGAGAGCTCTCAGCGGAAAAGTCTGCTGTCCCTCTCCCTCCCTTCCCAGGAGCCTGCCATGAATGTCCTCCTCTGCCCAGGGTCAGAGCCTGGTTCCAGTGCTCAGCAGGTGGAGGCCACTGGCCACATTCTCCCCAAAGTCAGTTCACACGTCAAGGGTGGGAGACATCCAGGGTGGGGCAGGTGAGGCTCCTAGAAGGGGTCAGCCTGGCTCCTGCACCTTGCCCCCTCCTGTGGGCCTGCCATCCTCTGCACCCAGCGCCATGCGCTAGACATATGCACCTTCGTGAAAGTTAGAAGAAGACGCCCTCTCCAGGGGCCTCTCCGGGTGGACGCAGCATCCAGGACTCGGGGCTGGGCTGGATCATCTTCTTCAATTCTCACAACCACCCAGTGCGGTGGGCGTCTGTGTTGTCTTCACAGAGTTTTCCTTTTTCTAAATCGGAAGAGGTTTTTCAACTGCCAGCACCCCCATTTCCTCATCTAGCCAATGAGTGTGATACTCCTAGCTCTTTGTTCAAGAGCGATAAAAGCCCTCTGGGGACAAAACAAGATTTTAAAACATCCTGCAAATGCCGGGGGTTTTATATCGATCTTACCCCAGGGTCCTCAAAGGCAGTTTCTGGGGCCTCTGGTCTGAGAAACTCACCTTACACTCACACAGCCCCCAGTGTTACGTGTGGGTACCACAGAGAGCTGGTTCCCTCCCAGGATCTGGCATTTGGGGGTGCTCCCTCCCCTAACGTCTGTTGTCAGACTTGTGAGGCTGCAGTGGGTGAGGTGTTATGTGTGGCGAGAAGGCAGTCACTGCCTGGCGAGCTGGCCTGGACGGGGTGACCTCATGGGCCTTTCTTAGTTCTCATTTTAATGACTGAGTTCACTGTTTCATTTTTGGCTTTCTCTCTCTTTTTTGCAGCTGTGATGTTTGGGATTTAGGGCAAGCATTTGGGATCCCTTTTCTAATCCCTATCAAATGTGGATTGAGCTGCCAAGTCTTGGGAAGGGAGGAGGGACTCCCCCTGGCTGGAGGCAGTGGCTCAAAACATCTGAGAAACTCCAGCTTCCACCCTCTGAGGCAGGAGGTCTCTCTTCTCATCCAATGCCATCCTCTTCACAGAATGCAGTGAGTTCCACCCAGGGACTCCAACCTCACATAACCTCCTTGCTTGGGTGCTTAAGAGATAAGAATGCTGGTTGTGGTGATAAGGGAGAGACTTAGCATTTGCCTTTTTCCAATTTAACCATGTCCTTGATTGAAATGTTTCTTGGCTGGGCCCCTCATCCATTTCCACCACTGCCCCGATTGAGACTGGGTCCCCCACCCAACCAGGGTAGTGCAAAGTGGTCTGAGTCACCCACCTTGTAAACCATCACCACACTCAAATGACTTTTTATTACATAGCTTCTCCACGGTAGAGATAAGTTACATCATGGATGCTAATCCTATTATGCCCATCACCTGTAGCATTATGTACACACTTCTCAGTCTGAATTTAAAGGCCTTTTGTAACTTTCAGGCTACCCCTCTGACTTAATTCCTGCCCACGACTCCTAGCAGTTCCTTTGCCACTTACTCTATTATCCACCGTCTTTGCGCCATCTTGGGCTTTTGTCCAGGTGTCCCTCTCCCTGTGTGCCGTCTCTCAATCCAAACACCGTGCACCCATAAGGCTAGCTCATGTCCTCTCTCCTTGACCCCAGCCCACCAATATCCCTGTTCTCTGCACGCAGTTTTATTCCAACTATTCTTTCACTTGTTCCATTAGTTGAGTCTCCCCAAGTAGAATGTACGTTCCTTGATGTCGATCCCTTCTCTAAGCTTCTTCCATATTCCCTGCAGTATCCAGGTGAGCTTCTGTGGCATAGAGTAAACAGTGAAGTCATTTTGACCCTGATCAGGTGTTTGGCCACCTGAAAAGCATATTGACGAATTTCTAAAAACCAAAGTATGCGTTTATCCTGTGAAACGAATACCAGTTGTTGGTAGCCTGGACTCATGGGCACCCAGGCACGCACGTGCACACACAGCTTGCACACACACCCTCACAACTTTCCCAGGTATGAAGAAACACTGATGAAGACTGGAGGTTTGAAAGGTGATCCCCAGCCCTGGGACTTCCAACAGTAGCCAAACACCATCTTTCATACTCTTCTGATGCATTTGACCTCTCCTCTTTCCCCAGAGAGCTCCTGTGAAAATAAGCGTGCAGACCTGGTCTTCATCATTGACAGCTCCCGCAGTGTCAACACCCACGACTATGCCAAGGTCAAGGAGTTCATCATGGACATCTTGCAGTTCTTGGACATCGGCCCTGATGTCACCAGAGTGGGCCTGCTCCAATATGGCAGCACCGTTAAGAATGAGTTCTCCCTCAAGACCTTTAAGAGGAAGTCCGAGGTGGAGCGCGCCGTCAAGAGGATGAGGCACCTCTCCACGGGCACCATGACGGGCCTGGCCATCCAGTACGCCTTGAACATTGCGTTCTCTGAAGCAGAGGGTGCCCGGCCCCTGAGGGAAAATGTGCCGAGGGTCATAATGATCGTGACGGATGGGAGACCACAGGACTCTGTGGCCGAGGTGGCTGCAAAGGTGCGGGACACAGGCATCCTGATCTTTGCCATTGGTGTGGGCCAGGTGGACCTCAACACGCTGAAGGCCATTGGGAGCGAGCCTCACGAGGACCACGTCTTCCTGGTGGCCAACTTCAGCCAGATGGAGTCGCTGACCTCGGTGTTCCAGAACAAGTTGTGCGGTAAGTCCTGCACCCTAACCTTGTGCCTCTTCCAGGGGCATTACTAGGATCTATTTATTTGCCCTCCAGGGCTCATTCTGTGCTGCCTTACCCCAGGTACCATGCCTGCAAGAACCGTTCAGCAAAGGCCAAGATAGACACAGTGTTTTGGGGGGTTTATACTCTAGCGAAGGAGACAGATATTAAGCATGAGATGGTGCAAATAAGTAAGTAACTGCAGTCGTTACAGTGTGATGGAGGAAGAATTCAGGGCAGGACCTGGCCTAGTCCTGGGTGCTCAGGGTGACTTCCCTGGGGAGGGGACATTTACTGCAGAATGAGTAAGAGTGGATAGGTGAAATTTTCTCCTATACATTGAACTCTCCCAGAATTCCCTGAGTTGGAATTCATGAGTTGGAGTAGGAATGGGACTATGAGGGCAAAAATAATGGCATAATTTCTCCTTGGATGGTGGGGAATACAAACATATTTGCCCCAAGGTGGTGCTAGCCCTGGATGTTTTCTCAACTGACAAAGATGCCCAGTGTATGGGGAGGAGCAAGATATGGTCCTGGTGCCTTCCCACCTGTTAGGATGGCAGAAGGTGCCCCCCCTTTCCGGCCCACTTCTCTGTTACGGGAGGCTTCTCTAAGTCTTTGAGCTACTTTTTTTCTCTTTAAAAAAAACTTTTTTTAAGATTTCATTTATTTATCTATAGAGGGGAGGGGAAGGAGAGAGGGAGAGAAATATCAATGTATGGTTACCTCTCATGTGTCCCCTCCTGGGAACTGGTCTGCAAACCAGGCATGTGCTCTCACTGGGAATCAAACCTCAATCCTTTGATTCATAGGCCCGCACTCAATCCACTGAGCTATACTAGCCAGGGCTGCTTTTTCTCTCTTTGAGGGTCTTCTTCCCTCTCTTGCTTTCTAACCCTACTCTCCACAAGGCTTCCCTCTCCCTTCCTTGCTAGACTCCTCCCAGTAACCTTCAGCCCAGTCTCCTGTGTCAGCTTTTTCCAGCGGGTCCACTCGCTCCCTCCCCAGTTTCCTGCTCCTGCAGGAGACTTCTCGTCCCTCCTCCAGAAGGGAGGGGCCCAGGGCGCCGACTCAGGCTCCATTATCATCCCTGGAAACAGGAAATGTGCCTTCTGACTTGGTAAACAGTGTCCAACCCTGTCTTTCCCACCCCCATCGGTCCCTGTCCCCTCCAACTGCCATGTTTCTTTGATGGGACAACAAAAGCAAGTATCTATTTTGAAATGACTAATATTTCGAATGGAGAGTAAGCTTAGGGACCAGACTGATTTCCCGCTCTCCGGGAGCAGGATCCTGCCCTGTGGGGCTCTGAGGGCCAGTTCTGGGAACGCGGCACAGCCTGGACACCACCCCCAACTCCTCTCAAAGCCTCACAGAGTAAGAATGGTGTGCTCGTGATGTGTCTTTAAAAAAAAAAACAAAACCTGATGAGAACTAACCTCAAAAATCAAATGATTTACTTACAAAAATCAGTGCCATGAAGGAAAAAGAACATTTTCTCTGCAATGTCGCCTGGAAACTGTTCAGAAGTGCCTCTTTCTCTGGAGCCACGGGAGGGCTGGCTTCTGTGTGGTGTGCTGGGCCCGAGTCACCTGGAAAACTTCACCCAATGGGGTGCACTGTGAACAGTTTTAAGGTTTATGACTTTAAATGACTTATGCAGAAGGAATGTTTCTTTCTTCCTGGAAATACTAAAAAAGGACTCGGTTCCACAACAGTTTTGAGGGGTGTATTCATTTGTCTTGGGACGTGTTCATGGAGGAGTTCTTTGGTGGGTGCTCTGGACTTACCAGCAAATGGAAAGGTAATCGACAAATGTGAGGATGAGGACTTGTCTGTAGCAGAACCTTCTCTGCGTTCTTTATGGCCAGGCAGCAACATTAAAAGGCAGTTTGAATCGCCCTCCCACCCTCCCCACCAGCACTTTGTTGCAATCAGGAAGCTCTAAGAAAACATCCGTGTCATGCCATCCATTCGTTCATTCGTTCTGGGGCCTTAGAACTGAATCCCCACTCCCACCCCAGGGGAGACCAGGTCCTGTCTCACCACATTGCTGGGCTCTGATGAGCAGACTTGTCAACTGTCTTCAAAGGCTGAGGAGGCCCTGGGGCCTCTATGAGCCGTGCAGTAAAGAGCACAGTAAGTGACATCTATAAAGCACTTTCCCTTCTGTTTTTGCACTTGATCCTCTCGAGAACCTGGGGAGGTAACACAATACCGGCCCTCCCTCTCTACGGGTGAGTGAACTTGTTCAGTGAGCTCCCTGAGAACAAACAGCCAGAGGATGCTGGGTTCTGCTCCCAAAGCGCTTGATCATTTTGCTCCCACCACACGCTGGGAGTTATAAATTACTCTAAGGAAAAGCACTTTCTGATGGCAGCCTCCACCATCCAGCTGTGCTGGGTGTACCAGCGGTGAGGCTGACATTCACCTAGAGTTTGAGGGAAGACTTTGTAGTGGGGGAAGGAGCGGACTCCAGCCTCGGGGACCTCACCTGCCAGTGGTACACGGTGCTGAGCACCTCTGTCAAATGGGGTTTTACCTGCAGAAATAGATGTGTGGGCGGTGTTGGAAACTGTAGAGCCCTATTGAGTGTGTGCCAGGTGGCATATAATTGTGGTCAGATACCTGAAGGACCAGCAGGTTGTCAGATCTGTGCTCCGGTTTTCAGGCAACAGTGATGAGCATCTTCCAAGTTGGCAGATGGCATCTTTGAGGTTTTGGAAGTCTCATTTCTTCCTTCCACAGTTACTGAGTGACACTCTGATAATAACAGCTGAGTTTGTCCTGGGCTAGGTACTTATAACAGCCTATGAGGCAGGTACTCTTATTATCCCCATTTGACAGAAATAGGAACTGAGGCTCAGAAAGGATAAGCAACTTCAAGTATCAGAGTCGGGGATGCAGATTGCAGTCTCTCTGTACAGAGCTCTCCACACACCAGGCCCAGGGTTCAAGGCAGGTGGGAGGATGCTCTAATCACAGAGAAATCGGATATTGACCATACCTCAGTGACCTTGGAATGTCACCCAGCACTGGGGACCTCTGATCAAAAGATGCTTGGGTTACCTACAGGCTCCAGGAGAGCTTTAAACAGCAGATGATGATAACAGTCACTAACATTTATTGACTTTAATATGTGTATGTGCTGTCTTGAGCTACTAGTGTATGTTAGCTCATATTTTATTCACATAGTAAACCTGTGAAGTAGGGGCTCTCATAATTCCCATTGTATAGGAAAGGAAATCGAGACCCGGAGAGGCTCAATAACTCATCCAAAGTCGCGCCGCACTAAGTGGTAGAGCTGAGTTGTGAATCCAGGCATGCTGGCTCCGAACCTGCATCGAAACCAGTGTGTGTTGCACAGTCCTGAAAGATGAGCAGGAGTTTACTCTGTGCAGAGAGAGCAACTGCAGCAAGCTGGGAAAGGAATGCTGTTTTCAACTGTGTTTTTTTTCCTATTTCATATTTTTTTCAAAACCACAAAAACAAGCCCAGATTCTCTGTGAATTTTGTGACCCACAGTTTGAAAGGTGCTGATGAAGGGCTATGCAGGGAAGTGGAGGCCGTGGTGCACCTAGGGATGGGGTTTCAGAGGGAAGAAGGGGTGAAGCCCTTGTGCTTCAGGCAGAGCCGAAAAGCGCTGCTGGATCTTAGTCTCCCAGCATGAGCGAGGCAGGAACCTTCATTACACACTTAGGAAGAGATCAGGCTCTGGAGCTGGACTGCCCCTGAGGGTGAGCCCTGGCTCTGGCTCTCGCTGGCTATGTCCATGTGAACTTGGACACAGTGGTGGCTTTATACCCATGGGTAGTCAGTTCCCACGCTGGCCACAGCAGGAGAGGGAGGTGGGACTCCTGAGGTTGCCTTCTCAGGCCAGCCCTGAGACCACCAGAGAAACTTGGGGGCCAGGTGTCCTGTGAATGGAGGCCCAGTCTGCAAAATGCCTACCCAGCCTGGGGTCCACCACTTTTGCCACCCAGTGAGAGAGAACACAGAATTTAGGGGCTGAAAAACGCATGTCTGTCCTGAGCCTTCTGAAGACTCATTATAACCTGGGCAGGTCTGCTTTTAATTAACCTCTTGGTACCTGCTTTATCAAACTAGCCTGGTATTTGGAGCCTATAGACTGACCATTCCTACCCTGATAGCCCTACCCCACCCCACTCAGGCCGGCACAATGTCAGGCCCTAATAGTGCTCCTAAGACAAGCCTTTTGTTAACCACCCTGAGCAAAGTCTACACTTACTGTACCTCTTTGAGGCCCTGTTGTGCTAAGTGGGAGCATAGAGTGACTTCAACAGATGTTGACTTCACATACCCAATAATTGTGACTTTCAAGATTCCCGGTCAGCTCCACCATTACTCTGATTACTACTGTAATCATTCAGATGTTCATTAATAAAGATTTATGAGCATTCATATTTCCTAGTTAGGAAAAAACAATCCAGTCTTGCCAATGGCAGTTGACTGACTACTGATTCCTTCCCGTGAACCCAAAGCCTTGACCCAGTGCCCACCCAGAGGGCCCTCCGAGAAATGAGACCTCTTGCAGGCCAGCAGAAGAGGCAGAACTGTTGTGTCTCGGTTGGTCCCATCACAAAGGCCTGGCCCACGGGCGAGCAAGGCATGGTGCCCAGATGCTCGTGGACTCACTGAACACTCATCTACACAATTTTACAGACACAGAATTTTTGTTTTACCTTTGTAAAAATGTTTGGGATTCTTTTAGTTGAAAGTAGTAGAAATTCAACTTGAACTAGCTTGAGAAAGGAGGATTGCGTTATATTACTCATGGAATTGCCGAGAAGAGCGATGAAGGAGAGCCCCGAGTTCTCTTTGTCTCCTCCCTCTGCTTCCCCATGCACTGAGTTCTGGCCCAAGGGCAGAGGGAATGTTAGCCCTCCAAGTAAACTTGCCCTTGGCTTAATGCCCCCCTTTTCTCAGTTCTACTTCCTAAATGCCAAGAAAGGACTCTGGCTGTCAAGCCCTGTCTCACCCAATGGCGGCCAGGAGTGGGGCTGCCTTGTACCAACACAGCATTACCAGGCCTCCAGAGTGAGAAGGGCAGTTTCTAGAACAAGGGGGTGCTACACAGACGAAGCAATAAGCATGTGTGCCGAGGCTCTCTAGGCCCTGTTCATGCCTTTATTCTGCAGGTAAAGAAATAAGCCAAAAAGAGCTACCCAACCTACCTGAACTTCCCTCACTTGCTCGAGGTAGAGGGGAACCAGAACGCAAGTCTGGCTCCCCGGTCCGAGCTTTCTCTGCTGCTACTCCAACTTACAGTCCCCTGGTTCCAGTTTCTCTGACGGAACCCGGCCCAAACAAGCCTCAGCAATAAGCTGCCGCTCTAAAACCCTATATACAATGGTTCTTTTAATTTCCCCCCTTTGACAGGTGAAGAAAGTGGAATTTAGAGAAAAGAAGTCATCCATACAAGGTCATGCATAGTAAGTGACAAAGCTAACATCTTCGCCACTGCGCTATCTGCTGCCCAACAGATATTTTCTCTGCTTTGTGTCTCCTTCCTTCCTATTTTATTGGCCAGGGTCCCACTGAGAAGACTGGCACTGGGCTCCTCACTTGGGCCTTGCACCAGTTCTTAAGCACTGTGCAGCTGGTTACCTAGACCTTAGACTTCCTTCATTACGGAGGCAATTGGTGACGTGCTGAGGATTCCTCTGAAATGCCCTTGTGCCCGTGGGTAACTTGGCCCCAGCAGTCCACTCAAAGAAAAAAGCCTTCCAGGGGGCGAAGCAAATGCAAATGAAAATCAGAGTGATGGTTTTTCCTTTACATACTGTCAGAAACTTAAAGTTGATAATGCCAAGTGCTGAAGGTGTGAGGGGGTTGGAATTGTTACTCTCATGCATGGCTGGTGCGACCCCCCTTTGCAAGGCAGTGAGGCCATATCTGTTAAACTGGAACCGAATCCTGGGGAAATAGTGACACGTGAGTTCAAGGAGGGGTGTTTGAGAATGTCCATCACAGTAGTGTGCAAGCAAAAATTTGGGACCTGCTCAAATGTCCGCTAATTGGGAAGTGGCCATATAAAATGAGTCGTATGACCAATGAATAAAGCAATTGAAAGGAATAGACCAGAGCTAATGTATTTGGTGAAATCTAAGATATACCATTGATTCTCCTTATTGTTAGCCAGTGAAGATAAGTGAATTAGTGAATTAGTGAATATTGAAATATTGCTCGTGGGGGAAATACAATTAGGTTCCTGTGAGACTCTGGTCACACTTTTGTCAACTGATCAATACACTATCTTGTTTTGTGTGTATTTCTATTTAAATGCACCTTATTTAATATATTTTGTTGGTTCACTGACTTTGGATCCAGAGCCCACAGCACTGAGGTGGTATATCTATGCGAACGAAATTTGTCTATACACACTTTCTCCCTAAGGCACATCACAGCTTCTTGCACTTGGGAACATGAGGCACACTTCACTAGCAGTTCACTTCTGCACACTCCAGCACTATGCTTGTGATCATCTAAAACAGCAAAACACCAACAAAAAGCACAAAGATGCGAAAACCATGGCATGAAGTAGACCTTGAAAAGGACACATTTATAGGCTGAGAGCTGAAACAAAAAGACAGAGCATCGCCTACTTCAGCCTCAGTTGGAGACTCAGATGCTTCATTGCTCTGAGCATGCCCACGAACGCCAGTGAAGGAACTGGGAGTTTTGGCTTTGGGGTCACAAATAACTTTTAGCCAGTAGGCAAATTCACAAATTCAGAATCTGCAAATAATTAGTATCGACTGCCCATGTCTTCACATTTTAACATCTCTGAAATGGGGGTGCATCTTAGGGGCTATGGAGATGGTATATATCAATATAGATAGAATTTGTGAATAATGCTCAGTGAAAAAACAAGTTGAAGATCAATACGTAGGATGAACCCATGTATATAAAACAAAACAAAAGGCCACGATGCTTGCCCTTGGCTATGTAACAGTTAACACGTTTGAGCAGTCACCCGCCCCGCCCCTTGGGTACTGGTCCCTGTTCTAAGCACTTTACCATCTGGATTATTTCAACCCTTACAAGGCCCTTGTGAGACAGGTGCTATTTTCATTTCCATTTTATACAAAGAGATTAGTAAAGTTGCCCACAATCACAAAGACTTATTTATTTCACACCAAAGTAAAAATGATTGATTAGATTTGATCTATGAACTTTCCTAATCTTACCTATATTTTATTTTTATCTTAGCTAAAACATAGACAATTATAAACTCAGAAGAATCCTTCTAAATGGTATTGTTATGAAATAAATGTTTTACTCCCCTGGTTAATTAATGCTCTCCATGTTTTTTATGTAGAAGTAAGCAGGCACACAAGGTCTGTCCAGAAAAAGTCCAGCCATTATTAATATAACAAGAACAGTTTGCTTTATGCAACATTGATGTAACCTGGCAGCCAAGGAGAGTGGACTGGAATGCACATGTGTGACAATGACGACTTCACTGTACTAGTCAGTGGGGGTAGTAAATGCCGTTGAGTGAGCATGTGTACTGTGTGGCAATTGCATTCAAAATGAACGAATAGAGCAATGAATCTGCACCAAATTTTGTGTTAAGCTTGAACAGTTGGACACTATTCAGATGATTCAGAAGGCTGCAGCTACGGGCAACCAGTGATTGGCAGCTTCCCCATGACAATGCCACTGGTCATGCATCATGTCTTGTGCAGAGTGTTTTGGTGAAACATCAAATCACCCAGGTGATTCAGCCCCCCTACAGACAAGATTTGGTGCCCTGTGACCTCTGGATTTTCCAAAAATTAAAATCATCTTTGAAGGGGAAGAGCTTTCAGACCATCAGTGAGATTCAGGAAAATACAACGGGGTATCTATTTCATTGGTTGCTGAGTTTTCCTAAGCCCTGGATTAATGGGATTGTCCTTAGCTTTTGAAAGCCTCTTTTATTTGAGCTTCTATAAATACATTTCCACATATGGCCACCTTTCTTGTTTTTGAGGACACTTGCATAACTTGTACTTGTTTATGCTGATGTTGGTAAACTTGAAATATGTTCAAGTTGCCTTTTTTTAGAAAGTCATAAATTAAAATGTAAAAAAAGGAATTTTTATGAGCTCCAAAAAGAACTGATATATTGAAAGCTGAGGTACTTCAGAAACTAAATGTAGAAATGTTTTCAAACGAGACATAAAACTTATGGAAACATGGAACATACGAGTGCATTTTTTACTCCAAAATTTGGCATAACACTTTTACATGCTAAAAACATTGCACCACTCGTGGGATTTATGATCCTGAGAAGCTGTTGATTCTTAACCATATGCTCATTTAATAGCTTTTCCTCCAACTCCACTGCTGCCTGTTGACCATCCGCATCTCAGCCAAAGCTGCTCTGGTATCATCAAGACTCCTCCCCACCACTGGGTATTGTTAATTAAACCATGAGGTTTCTCTTTTTGTAGGTCACTGGGACCTGTTTTTAGCTGAATCTTGGTGATTTCATAGGGTGGAGCCCAACACCATTTCCCTTTAACCTTCCACGGCCCTGTGTCTACTTATGGCTGACAGCATTTATCTGGAACTGTCTCTTGCAACCAGAGGCTCGAAACCCCCTTGGGAGTGGGGACTGCAGCTTCTTTCTCTTGGACCCTGCTCTCTCCACCACAGAGTAGAGTTCTGAATGCATGTTTGCTGTGTGCAGGAAGTGAGAGAAGGCATTATTGCTGCCTAAACTTGCCATATCTTTCTTTTCAGTGGTCCACATGTGCAGCCTCCAGGAGCACAACTGTGCGCACTTCTGCATCAACACCCCAGGCTCGTACGTCTGCAGGTGCAAACAAGGATACATCCTCAACTCGGATCAGACGACCTGCAGAAGTAAGTTGCTTTGCTGACGTACTCGTACTGTGCTCCTCTTCTCTCCCTCTTCTTTTACCCGAGCCCATTTATCTGTGGCCCATGACCCAACCAAGTCGTCATCTCCTTAAAAATACAAATGAGATTTTTGTAATTCATATCTTTTGTATTGATCTCTACTGCCTACTCAGCCCCTTGGCCAGAGCCGAGCCATCGTGGTAGGCCATCGGGAAGAGGGGGGAAGATGGCTGGGGGCGCTGTCTCAGAAACGGCCTCCTTGAATTCATGAGCTGGTGCCTTTTACTTCCAAGCCATTCTTCAGAGAGAACTGCCGAAGAATCAGTTCATCCCAGGTCTTGTAACTCTTCCCCGAGGAATCGTTTCCATATTTTAGTCTGTTCTCTGAAGCATGGACTTCAGAGGAGTTAGTAACATTGCCTGGGAATGATTATTTAGTTCTGTTTTACAGGCGCACAGGGATCTATTTGCTTTGGAGAAGGATATTTTATGGGTCTCCTACAGAGAAAAGGGCCAACAGATATGTGTTAATAGAACTCACATTCTTTTTTGGCCAAGCCCCCAAACTAGTAATACCGATGTTTGAGCCAGCATGAGGAAATCCACCTCTCAGAGGAGTTACTCCAACACTGAGTGCTGTGTCCATACTTTTTTTTTTTTTAAGTTGTAAATAAAGTCACCGTATTAGTCCATAGACAACCAAGCAGGAAAGGCAGGAGGAAGACGGGCCCACATGGAGGCAAATAAAACTCAGCTACCCCGGATGTGTAGTTCATGCAATGCGTAACTGTTATTATAGTGCATGGTAAGCAATTAAGCATTAATGGAAAGCTATTTGCACAAATGGCAGTAATTAGTATCGCATTTATAGAGCCAAACCGCATTTTCCTTTTGTCTTCTCACTTTTCAGTTTCGGGGTTGCGGGTGGTTGGCTAGAGGCCTCCCTGCCCACTCCCTAGATCAGGGAACATCTGCCTGCCTCCTCCAGTTCTGTGGCTGTGGAAGCTGCAAGGCCTCAACCTCTAGGAACCCCAGGGGCTCTGTGTTCTTCGGCTCCTCTCACACCCTAGGATCCCAGGTCGTTGAGTTCAGCCTGACTCACCCTGCTTGAACCTCCAACCCTTCTTCGGTTTCCCAACAAAAATCACTCACACCAAATACTCATGGGTTTGATAGGGTTTACTAGATAACTGGGGGAGCCCGGGGAAGGTCACCTCACCCACTGCTCAGCAAACCACCTAAACATCCCTGTAGACACCCCGCAGTCCTCTTCAGGCTCCGCCCGCCCCACCCTGCCCTCTGGCCCAGCCTCTGCGGGAACTTCTCCTCTCCTAGGAACTTCTCCGCAGAGTGCGCCGCCTTCCACCGCCTGGCTAACTCCCTTCTCTGGAGCACAAGGAGTTCCTGTCCTTGCCTCCTGCCCAGTGATGTGCAGGGGATCTGCCCATGCCCATTTTCTGTGGGCTGATGTCGTTAAGCCAGAGGAATTTGAGTTCAGCAAAAAGAAAAAAGTAAAAAGTGCTCCCCTGATGTCATGAGCAAGGCCTTTCCCATACACCAGGGTTTTCCAGCCTCAGGCAGAGAGACTCCAGGCTCTCCCAAAGAGCTGGTCTGGCCTTGGCTCCCTCCAGTTGAGAACTGTGAGGGCAAAGAGCGTGAAGCAGAAGCTGCCCGGGCTTCAGACAGACTATGGAGGGACAAGGAGGCCAGGGTGGGGGAGGGATGTGAATCCAGGGTGCTGGTTCAAGCCGCAGTAACTAGAGCCACCCGGAAGCCGAGCCCTGGGCCTCCCCCCGAGGGATTCAGAGTCAGCAGATCTGGAGTGGGCCCAGGACTCTGTACTGCCAGTGAACTTCTCACATAGATTGCTGCCACACTCGGAGATTCACTGGCAGCGAGGGCATGGGGACCAGAAGGAGGGAAGTGGCGGAGGGCTTCCAGTTAAGGGACGGAGCTGGGGCCAGGGCTGTGCCAACCCATCTGGCCCAGCCCTCCAGTCACTCCGAAGCAGTTCAACTCTCCTTATCATAAGCACCAGACTTAGCTTAATATGTCTAATCATAAAGATCGGTTCTTTCTCTCTCTCTCAGAAAGAAGTAGTGACTCTGTGTTGCCTGCCAGCGATCTTGCAGAAAGAGCTGGGTTTGAATCCTGACACTGTCACTCATGGGATATGGCTGCCTCACCCTGAGCTGTTGTTTAAACTCCTTGACTCAGTGTCCTCACCTATAAAGTGGGAAGGGTGGTGACAAATTAAGATTTATCTCGTTGACAAGTCCATGTTAGCCCATGGCTTTGGTCCAGGGGTAGACGGTGAAAAGCTGTGCCAAGGGGACGGTGGGCCAACCTCGATCTCCGTTTCGGAGCTGCTTGCAGGGGCTGCCCCCACAGCACCGAGACTCAGTGGGCCCGGAGAAGAATGAAACACAACCGTTCTCACTTTTGAGGCAGATGTGCCGGGCAGCATGCAGATTACTGGAAGTAAAATAGTGACTAAACCAGCCATGCTCCTACTCTGTCAGAGCTCACAGTCTTGCCTGAGAGTAAATCAAATAAATGATTGAGGTCATTGCCGCCAAACATGACTGCAGCCCTTGCCCAGCTCAGCGTGCTGCCCACGAGGTCAGGCCTAACGCAAGCCTCTGGTTAAGTGTTTGCCATGTGCCAGGAGCTCTCCCCAGTGCTTTATACCTGTTATCTCATTTAATTCTCACACCAGCTCTTAAAGCAGGTTTTGTCGTTCTCATTTTACAGATAAGGAAAATAAGGTACAATAAAAAGATTAGACAGTTTACTCAAGGTCACAGGGCTAGAGGTATTCAGACCAGAATAGGAATCCTGGGACTTCACAGTCCTAGCTCCTAACCATGGTTTGATCCTTCAGGGCCCCCAGAAGGCAGCAGGGTAACCCTGCAACCAGAGAAACTCCTCCAGGTCCAGGAGACAGGCAGGTTCAAAGGCTCACTGATCCAAGGGGAGATTCAGAATGAATTCAGCAGGGCTAACATCCAAATGGTTATCATCCCCCAAGTCTACTACCAGATGCTGTGGTATGTCATTGTGCATAATGATTGTGAGAGTGCCCCCTAGGTGACTGTATTCAAACACACACACACACACACACACACACACACACACACACACACACACACACACACACACCATTGTGTATTCATGCTCTGCCTGTGTGGAGAGAGGAGGCAGACAAAGCTAATTTACAGATTCCTCAAGCTAAAGTGGACCTTGGCTGTCAGACTTTTAGCTCCCTCTCCCACATAACCCAGGGATTGTGTTCCCTCCTAGTGTCCTCGATGGGCAGTGGTACCTGTCCACCACCATCTCCCACTGGGGACTGGGGGTCATGCAGCGCACCTGCACCCCTTGCCCCACACAGCCTGCCTGAGAGGTTGAGCTGCAACCCTACTCTGCATAAGTCCCACCATTGATCAGATTTCTGCCACCCGAGGCCACATCCTAAAAAGTGTATTTCCTTTTCCAGATTAGAAGAGAAAGTCCTTTCATTATTGAAGAGTGTTATCTACTCCCATGCCCACTAATTTTCTCCTCTTCAGGGGAGGTATAAACACATCTTTGGGGGGGCTGTCCAGATAACCCCCCTCTGGACACCAGTTGGTCAGTGGCTCAAAATGTGCCCTCCCTTTTAAAGACTAGGTCAAGCACATGAAATAATCTTTCCTTCAAAGTTCTGTCCATGCAAGCAATTTGGGATATGCCGGAGGTCAAGACTGTGGATTCTCCTGTCGTCCAAAGGGTCTTCCTCCCGCAGTACCGTTATAGGAGGTATCTGCAAAAGCGTTAGCCTAGAGCCTAGCCCAGAGGGCTCAGGGGAAGTTTTTCTCCTTCCCTTTCCCCATAAAAAACGGGGCAGGAGGAATCCTCCTGAAGTGTGTGTCTCTTCATTTCACACCGCTGTCTCTCCCATCCTTCCCTTCCCACTGAATTCCCATGAACAAGAAAGAGCTTTATCTTGTTTCCTTTTCTTTCTTTATTATTTTAAATAAGGAATTTTCCTTCCCTTTCCCTCCCTTCTGGACTAATTTAATCCATCCAGAAGAATAATAACAATGCAACATTCAGATAACTTTACTTGGCAAAAAATGTAAACTTTCTCATCCAGCTTTCTCATATTTTTCCTCTCTCAAGAACCATACCAAATATATTTGATTGCTTTCATTCTTCAGATATGTTCCTGACATTATTTTCCCAAGCTATATAAGTGATTGAATAGCTTTTATATTTGAGTTTAATCAAGGGGCATGATCCAGAAAAACAGTCACATTATTAAACAGACAAAACTATAACTAACATTCCTCATGAATGTAGATGTAGAAATTCTTAAAATTTTAGCAAATAGAGCCCTGGCTGGTGTAGCTCAGAGGATTGAGCGTGGGCCTGCAAACCACACGATCACGGTTCGATTCCCAGTCAGGGCACATGCCTGGGTTGCAGGCCAGTTCCCAGCATGGGACTCACGAGAAGCAACCATACATTGATATTTCTCTCCTTCTCTCCTTCCCTTTCTCTCTAAAAATAAATTTAAAAACTCTTTAAAAAATTTAGCAAATAGAGCCCTAGCTGATGGCTCAGTTGGTTGGAACATTGTCTTGTACACCAAAAAATTGTGGGATCGATTCCCAGTCAGGGCACATATCAAAGATGAGGGTTCAATCCCAGGTTAGGGCGCCTACAGGAAGCAACCAATCGGCATTTCTCTGTCACATCGATGTGCCTCTGTCTCTGTCTCTCTCTCCCTTCCTCATTTCTAAAATCAATGAACATTTCCTCAGGTGAGGGAAGAAATTTAATGAATAGAATCTATATATAATCAAGTCTGAAAAATCAATCCACATAATTCACCATATTAACAGATTGAAAAATGAAGAACATGTGGTCATTCTAATATGTGCAGAAAAAGCTTTGGGTAATGCCCAACATTCATTCATTATACAAACTCAGCAAACCAGGAATAAAGGGGAAATTGC